ATTTGTACCACAAACCAAATGTATGAACATCTAATCTTCGATAAGGGAGCAAGAAATGTGAAGTGGAACAAGGACAGCCTTTTTAACAAACAGTGCTGGCATAACTGGACAACCACATGCAAAAAAATGGACGTAGACCTTGTCCTAACACCATGCACAAAAGTCAGATCAAAATGGATTAAAGATCTCAACATCAGACCAAAATCATAAGGTACATTGAAGACAAGGTCAGCAAAACCCTCCACGATATTGAGGCTAATGGTATCTTCAAAGACGACACTCCAATGACCAACCAAGTGGAAACAGAGGTAAACAAATGGCACTATCTTCAATTAAGAAGATTCTGCACCTCAAAAGATACAGTGACCAAAATACAAAGACAATCTACAGAATGGGAAAGGATATTCACCCAATACCTATCTGATAAGGGGTTGATATCAAGGATATACAAAGCACTGGTTGAACTCTACAAGAAGAAAACAGCTAAGCCCATCAAAAATGGGGTGATTAAATGAAACTTTCTCAAAGAAGAAATCTGAATGGCTAAAAGGCACATGAGAAAATGCTCTTCATCACTAATCATCAGGGAGATGCAGATCAAAACAATGAGATATCACCTCACACCACAGAGACTGGCACACGTCCAAAAGAACAAAAGCAACTGGTGTTGGCGTGAATGTGGCGAGAAGAGGACTCTCCTTTACTGCTGGTAGTCATGCCAACTGGTTCAGCCCTTTTGGAAAACAGTATGGACGATCCTCAAAAAATTAGAAATTGACTCGTTCTTCACGCCCTACCGAGGTCACTAGTTGCCCCCAACGAGCGCCTATCTGGCATGGCCATGGCTCCAAAAGCACAAGGACTTAATGCAGAGCCCAACAGCTTGAAGTAGAAAAGTGAATGGACTATGCGTTAATCCATGGTACCATGCCTGCCCGGGAGGGAAAGGGTGTTGCTCCCTTCCGCCTTTTTCCCCTGGACAGCAAAATGGTGGCTGCCTCAGAGCAATTTGGAAATCCAGGTATGAGCCAGCGGTGACAGGGCAACTGAAACCTCATGGGAAGAGGGGGGGCATTCCTGGTTGGTCCTTCACGCTCTACCGAGGTCATGAGTTTACCCCCAGGAGCGACTCTCTGGCACGGCCATGGCTTTAGAGCCACAGATACCAATCTCGTAATTATCTGACTCTTGGCAGAAATACCTCCAGGCTTAATAAGTAAAATATTAGAAATCCAAATCCATAGACATCATATGGCTCTCATAACTAACTGTAGAAAACAAATTATTTCACAATGCCTTTTCAGCAGTTCTTATTGTTGTGTGTAAACTGTAAGCAATAATGGTGCATCTTTTGTCGAAATAATGAACGTAATCAAAGTAGATAGAGTGTTAGGTGGAATTCATCTGCCTCACAGGTATTGGGCGGGGTGGCAGGGGGATATAATTGGGTTCTTGGTGGTGAAAAATAAGTAATGTTGAAGGGAAATGTATTTGATCATTGCATAACTGAGACTTAAACCTGAAAGCTTTGTAACTTTTCCCACAGTGGTTCAATAAATAAATATTAAAAAAAAAAAGAAATTGAGCACCCATTTCACCCAGCAAAACCAATCTTGGGAATATATCCTGGAGAGGCAAAAAAGTACAGTTGAAATACCATGTGCACTTCTATGTTCATTGCAAACTATTCACAATAGCCAAAATCTGGAAAAAACCCGAGTGCCCCAGAATAGATGACCGGTTAAAGAATCTTTGGTAAATCTACACAATGGAATACTATGCAGTTGTTTCCTTATTCCACTTCACATTTCTTGCTCCCTTATTCTAACTTCATTTTTGTTAGAAAAGATGAAGTCGTGAAATTTACATACAAGTGGTACTACATGGAAAGTTTCATTCTAAGGGAAATGAGTCAGAAAGAGAGGGAAAGACATAGAAAGATTTTATTTATCTGGGGAATATAAAGAACAAAATAGGAGACTAATACCCATGAATAGCCGAGATAAGTAAGAGGAGGTTCACTCCATGGCTTGGAGGCCAGCTGCACATGCTAGGGGAAAAGGGAGCTCAGATAGAGAAGGGAGCACCAAGTAAAGGGTGTTAGGAGGATCCTCCCAGGATGAGAGATGCATGCTGATAGTAAACTATACACCAAACATGATTGCCACTCAATGCCTTTTTTGCAAACCACAGCACCCAAAAGGAGAGAGAACAAAAGGGAATGGCCTGCCACAGGGGTGGGGTGGGATGGGGGGATGAGGGGTGGGAGATACTGGGAGCATTGGAGGTTGAGAATGGGCACTTGTGGAGGGATGTGTACTCGATCATTTTATAACTGAAAACCAAGCACAAAAATTTGTAAGTCTAGAACTGTATCTCATGGTGTTTCACTAATAAAAATTAAAAAAAGAATAGCATGGTACTAGAACAAAGGCAGAGCTGCAGACCTATGGAACAGGGTTGAATATACTGACATCTCCCCACAGACATATGATCATCTAGTCTTTGATAAGGGAGCAAGGAATGTGAAATGGAGCAAGGAGAGCCTCTTTAACAAATTGTGCCTGAAAAACTGGACAGCTACATGCAAAAAAAAACAAATGGCCTCAGATCTACCTAACACCATGTACAAAAGTAATATCAAATAGATTAAACACAAGACTGGAATCAATAAGGTACATTGAAGACAAGGTTGGCAAAACCCTCCATGACATTGAAACTAATGGTATCTTCAAAGATGATATGCCACTGGCCAACCAAGTGAAAACAATCACGATCACGATTATGACCATCCTGTTATTCGTCGATTGCCTTGAGCAGGCCCCAGTAACGTCTCCTTCGTCCTAGTCCTGAGATTTTTAAAAAAGTGCCATATTCACAGCTCTTTCAGAGTTAGGAGAATGAGACCCTTCATTGTTACTGGTATTTGGCATATTGGGTACGCCACGGGGAGTTTGCCAGACTCTGCTCTGTGGGCAAGTTACATTCGGTAGCTTGCCAGTTTGTCCAAAGCAGGAATGAGATGATAAGATGTCGGGAGCTGGGTTTTATAGTCTCTGAGTCTTGGCCATTGATGGGATTACACGGTGTCAGGGGGCCAGTTGGTGGGTGTGACCCCGCCTATTGGAGGATCTGGATGGAGGATGCTCAGCCCCGATCCGAGTAGACTTGGAGATCTCAGCCCCGGGACCCGCGTGCCTTTGTTCCCCTGCCGGTACCTTAATGTGTGCGGAGAGTGGTCTCAGCATGGTGGTGGCTGGTTCTGGAGATCTACAGCTGCCGGAGCCGTGATCGGGGCGGGGAGGAAAACTCAACCCGCTCCCCTCCAAGGGGCCCCGGCGAGGACAGCCAGGCACAGGGGCAGGAGACTCTGCCAAGTGAAACCAGAGATAGACAAATGGGACTATCTTAAACTAAGAAGCTTCTGCACCTCAAAAGAAACAGTGACCAGAATGAAAAACAATCTACAGAATGGGAAAGGATATTCACCCAATACCCATCTGATAAGGGGTTGATATCAAGGATATACAAAGCACTGATTGAACTCCACAAGAAGAAAACATCCCACTCCAATAAAAAATGGGGTGACAAAGTGAACAGAAACTTTCTCAAAGAAGAAATTCGAATGGCAAAAGGGCACATGAGAGAATGCTCTACATCACTAATCATCAGGGAGATGCAGATTAAAACAACAATGAGATATCATCTCACACCAAAGACTGGCACACATCCAAAAGAATAAAAGCAACTGGTGTTGGCACGGATATGGGGAGAAAGGGACTCTTCTTCACTACTGGTGGGAATGCCGACTGGTTCAGCCCTTTTGGAAAACAGTATGGATGATTCTCAACAAATTGGAAATTGAGCTCCCATTTGACCCATCAATACCATTCCTGGGAATATATCCAGAGGAGGCAAAAAAGTACAGTCGAAATGACATCTCCACTTTTATGTTCATTGCTCCACTATTCACAGTAGCCAAAATCTGGAAAAAACCTGAATGCCCTAAAACAGATGACTGGTTAAAGAAACCTTGGTACATATACACAATGGAGTACTCTGCAGCTGTTAGAAAATATGAAGTCATGAAATTTACATACAAATGGTACTACATGGAAAGTATCATGCTAAGTGAAATGAATCAGAAAGAGAGGAACAGACTTACTATGTCTGCAGAATATAAAGCAACAAAATAGGGGACTAACTTCCAAGAATGGTCAAAATAAGTACCAGGAGCTTCACTCCATGGCTTGAAGACCAGCCGCACCAGCTAGGGGAAAAGGCAACTCAGATGGAGAAGGGAGCAACAAGTAAAGGGTGTTGAGAGGATCCTCCTAGGATGGGAGATGCATGTTGAATGTAGACTATAGATCTAACATGATTGCCACTCAGTGCCTTGTTTGCAAACCTCAATGCCTCTTTTCCAAAAGGAGAGAACAAAAGAAATGGCCTGCCACAGATGCGGGATGGGATGGGGGAATGAAAGTGGGAAGGATACTGGGAACATTGGTGGTGGAGAAAGGGCACTGGTGGAGGAATGGGTACTCAATCATTTTATAACTGAAATCCAAGGACAAAAACTTGTAAGTCTACAACTGTACCTCATGGTGTTTCACTAATAAAAATTAAAAAAAAAAACTTTTAAGAAATTCACTTTTAAGTCACTTAATTTTCTTAAAAACTTTTAAGAAAATCACTTCTTTCCAGATATCTTTGTTAGAGTGAAAAAAATTAAAACTTTCTAGAAGTAAAATAAATTGGTTACAATAAAATATTAATAAAAAAATTCAAGCTTAAAAAGAATGCTGGGTCATTTTCTTTTATAATCGTGTTTTAAAGAAATTCTATTAAAACCTTCTCGGGTCATTCAAATTTTCATTTTTTTTTTCTGTTAGCCTAATTTCTTATCAGATAAGTTTATATCTTTGGTTCCTGCTTGATAAATAGGCATGTTCTCCTGTATTCACACCATTTGACTTGATTTCTGTTTCTTTTTTCAGACTAAAACTGGCATTGCATTGTTGTACCAGGAAGGGTCTGAACATGCCTATGACATTCGATTGAAGCTGACAAAAGAGGCTCTCACAATTCAAAAACAAGATGTCGTCTGTGTTAGTGGGAGCAATTGCAGTGCAAATGTAAGTGCTTCCTCATTTCCAGGCTTCTGTTATTCATGTGTTTTAAACGATGATCCCGAGACTGTCATTTTGATGAAAACCATTTAAATATTATCTGCAAGATTGCTGAGGAACATGAAAAACGTTTAAATATTCTGCAAGATTGCTGAGGAACAACTGATTCATTATTATTAAATACACCCTTCCTCAACTCTTGACTGTTTAGCTAAACAAAATATCATTTACTTTTCTCCCTGACTCTCTTAATTTCTTTGTTAATATTTCTTCCTGGAGGAGTTACACATAGGTAGAAGCCCTAAGATCATGTAATGAAATGTACCATATTCTCATGGGGAAACCAGAAAGAGATAAAAATATGACAGCTAATGTGCTTAGGAAAGGAATCATAATTGGAGAGTTTCCATCTAGAATTACTTACAATGAAAGATGGAGCAAGCACTTTTCAAAATTAGGTATCCACTTTGTTCTTCTCTGTCTGTGGATATAAATATGAATCTTCATGCTAAAGTATGACTCTCCCTGGTTTCACTCATAATTCTGACCAACACATAAAATTTTTTAAGGGTAAGACATTTTTAATAGATGTATTAGAAGGCTGTATCATAAATATTAACCTTCTACTATATTTTGTCAAAAATAATAACAAAACTTTTTATAACTTATCAAATTTTAATTCAAATGGGACCCTTACATTTGAAATTTGAATATATAGTGTACTAAAATCATAGTAAATTTTCTATTTATTCTAATATAATTTTGTGTTTATTCACAAATTTATAATCAACAGGATAAACATACATATATGTTTACATACATACATGTAAACAATACAAGAGAAAAAATAAAGCATACATCCTCAGTTTAGGTATTGTGATTACTTGGTACATAAGTAAAAATCAACAATGTCGGTTTTTACAACAACGTCAAATTATATTATTACTCAGTATTATTGCTTAGATTTTACAATGATGTAAAATTGTATTATTACTCAGGCCTTTGAATATATCCACTCATTAGCTACAAAACATGTTTATGAAATCACTTGGTTGAAAAGCAATTTTCATTGTGTTTTGAAAAATTGCCCAAATTGCTATCAGTTCCAAGTTCTCACTAGTTCTTTGGGAAGGCACAGACTCTGACACTCTTGTTCATCTGGTTTTCTGAGTCATTAAAAAACTTGACAATACAGTGAAAAAGACATTTGCACTACAATTTGCAGTTCTCCAGTGTGTGATAATAGTAGATGCTACTGTAGGGATGATCTGTTCTTGAATGTCTGGTGTCCCCAGAACAGAGCTGGCTGGAGGAGGATCTTTTATATATACTTCCTTGACAAACAGTACTGCTTCCCACTTCCACTTGAAGTCATCTTTCTTCTGTCACCTAGAACCCAAGTCCACACACTTCTTCCCAGTGCATGTATGCATGCCCACCTAATTATGCATCTGAGCAGTCTAGGGCCATCCCTGTGATGGGGACAGATAAATCACCCTAAGGTAGTAGAAGCCAAGGTGTTGTGCATTCTGACCCTTGCCCCTTAAGCCCAGCCTGGTATGCCATATTTTTATTCTGAATATTTCAGTTGCACTTGAAATGTTCCAGCATGCATAGGCAAGAAAGAGACTGAGACACAAAGGGCTTTCCCAGGAAGCAGCTTTATTAAGTATGTTATCATGGGATTGCAGGATTCTTATCCAGAGTCTAAGTTCCCACTTCAGGCAAGGAATTCCTTCTGTACCTTAAGCAAGCTCAGTTAAGAAACAGGAAGCAGAATTACACTATATAAGAACATCTCTTTTCTTTTGGCTAGTGGGCTTAACCCTCACCTGAAGATGGTTAGGTGTCTGACTCCCAGAATAGCTGTCCCCTTCCCTACTCACCACAGGGTTCTTAGTTCACACTGCTAAACGTTCCTGCCACAACCACTTCTCAAAATAGTTCTCATTAACCTGAATCTCGTGTGCATCTTATTATACTTCTCTTCCTAACCACTGCTCTGGCTTATCTCTTTGGGTCTTCTTATAAAAACAAAAACCAAAACCAAAATATGTGCATTTTGGGAACACAGGAATTGGAAATGATTTTGTAAATATTTAGACACTATTATTCTTAATAATGTTTACATAGTTAGCAGAAATTGTCTCAGATAAATCATGGAAAAGCAATGCCTTGTGTTTCATTATTCAGGTAAAATTAATTGTTTTTATTCAAAATATCAGACTGTCTAACAGGATAGGTTCTTTCTGTTAAAAAAAAATTGGGACTACACTTGGCAGTCTTTGGCAGCTACTCCTGGCTATGTCAGGGGTGTTGCTTGGGGCCTCACGTGTGCTGGGGATCCACATCTCCTACATACAGTGCATGTTCTTACCTCATCTATCCCCCTAGTCCCGAAGGTAAAGGTTTTGATGAAAATGATTAGCACCTTCTTAAGAAAATAAGAAAACTGGGATTATATTCACACCTATACATTTATGCTTACACTTTTTTGTAAATATGAGCTACTTTTTTCTTTTTTTAATTGAATTACCATGAGATACAGTTACAAAGCTTTTATGTTTGAGTTTCAATCATATAATGATTGAACACCCATCCCTCCACCAGTGTACATTTTCCACCACCAATGTCCCCAGTATCGCCTTCCCCATTCCAATCCGTCCCTTGTCTCTATGGCAGTCAGTTTGTCCCATACTCTCTCTATACTTTTGGGCATTGTGGTTTTCAGTATAGATATTGAGAGGCTATCACGTTTGGTCCTTTATCTACTTTCAGCACACATATATCATCCCAAGTGATTCTTCCAACCATCATTGACTTAGTGATACTTTCTCTTTTCCAGTTGCCTTCTCCCCCAGCTCATGAGACAGGCTTCCAATTATGGAGCAATCAGTATTCCTGACTCTTGTCTCTACTGTCCTTGGGTGTCAGTCTCATATTGTGTTATTCTATATTCCATAAATGAGTGCAGCCCTTCTATATCAGTCCCTCTCTTTCTGTCTTATTTCACTTAGCATTATACTTTTCATGACCATCCACTTATAAGCAAATTTCATGACTTCATCTCTCCTAGCAGCTGCATAGTATTCCATTGTGTAGATGTACCAAAGTTTCTTTAATGTTCTTGGACATTCAGGTTGTTCCCAGATTCTGGCTGTTGTGAACAAGGTTGCAATGAACAGACAGGTCATTTCTACTATGCTTTTTTGCACCCTCGGGATATATTCCCAGAAGTGGTATTGCTGGGTCATATGGAAGCTCAATTTCTAGTTTTTGAAAGAATGCCCACAGTGTTTTCCAAAAAGGCTCGACCAGTTGGCATTCACACCAATAATGAAATAGAGAACCTTTCTCCCCACATCCGCACCAGTACTGGTTGTTCTTCATTTTGCTGTGTGCCAGTCTCTGTGGTATGAGATGATATCTCATGGTTGTTTTGGCTTATGCTTACACTTTCAAGTGTTGTATTGATTCCTGTTAAGAGTCCCCTATCTGCCACTCCCTTTCCTTAACCATCTCTTCTGGGCCCATATGGAGCCTTTCCCCTGGGTTGGTGATTAATACAGAAGTTTGGGAGATATTCCATGGATGTACATGGAAGGATGCAATCAACTGCTGGTATCAAGTTTTCTCCATTGCTCCAGTAACAGAATCCTATGGGCTGAAACACATTAGTGTAAGGGGCATTTAAAACTGTATTAGTCAGTTATAAAAATAAAACCAATCTTGCCATGGGAATTTCGCATGTGCTTGGAGAACAGGCAAGACTATTTTTAACAAAGGGCACAACTGTTTTTAGAATCAGAATGAGAACAGCTCATGGGAATCTCAAAACATAAAAATTTTCACCGCATGCATAGTTTTCACTAATTCCATGTTAACCTCTATCAGGGAACCTGACCAAGAACAATTTTTTCTTTACTATTTTAAATTATTCTGAAGAACAGGATTAGAGAACCTAATCAGTCCATGGTTGATCCCCAGAATAAATTAGTGGGAATTTTACATCTCACCAAACCATGGATCCCCATATGGAACCTGAAAGATAAGAAGTCAATGATTAGTTTCAGTTTAACACAGAATTACTGAGTGTACAATGTTGACATTAAAGCCAAGCGGGGGAGGGAGGGCGGGGGGCTGGGGTGATAGCACAGTGGGTAGAATATTTGCCTTGCACGCGACCAACCCATGTTTGATCCCAGCATCACATATGGTACCCTGAGCACCGCCAGGAGTAATTCCTGTGTGCAGAGCTAGGAGTAACCCCTGTGCATCGCCAGGTCTGACCCAAAAAGACAAAAAAAATTTAAGCCAAGCATAAATTGGCTTATCAATGGGCCCCCAAGATCAAGGTAATAACTTCTTAGTATCTTTGATACTATAATAACATGGTATCATTTTACTGGGTGTGTTCTATGTGCAATTCACTACAGCTCCCAGCTTCATTGTACACTAAGTCCTAAACCCCAATCAAAAGCATATAAGTTAGGGAACTGAGTCAGTACCCATTTGTTAGCCTCTGTGTGCCAATATGTTTTTCATCAACATCAGCAAAACTCTGTCCCCCAATTTTGGATGCCCTCACTAATGTCTAGGTTGTTCTTTTTATTCTGTTTATAATCATCATTGTTACTGCTTTTGGGCATATTGAATATGCCACGGGGAGTTTGCCAGACTCTCCTTTGCCGGCAAGATACTTTTGGTAGCCTGCCGGGTTCTCCAGAGTAAGAACTAGATAATAAGATGCTTCTGGGAGCAGAGTTTTATAGTCTCTGGGTCTTGGCCGTTCATGGGATTACACGGCACCAGGGGGCACTTGGTGGGTGTAACGCCCACATACTGGAAGATGGGGCATCTGCGTGGAGGCCCTAGTCCAAATCCGAGCAGGTTTGGAGATCTACGCCCCAGGTCCCGCACACCTGTGTTCCTCTGCCGGTTCCCTCGTGCGTGAGGCTTGTCCGAACGTGTGGAGAGTGGTCTTAAGAATGGCTGTGGCTGGAACC